CAACTATTATTCTGATGAAAAAAGTGACATTGCAAGACTAATTTAAAGCAGCTTGAATGTTGAAATTTGCCTGCCTTCTCCCCGTTACACCATTCTATTTGGTTTCACTCTTAAGAAAGCTTTTTGAAATTTGCCATAATTGGGGCTGAAATGTATTATGGCTACCAGACTGGACCCCCAAGATTAATTGGTCTGCTTTTCCTTCATACTGGATACCATCTTATGCCTCCAAAAGCTGCATGAAAAAAAAAAGATAAAAATCAGAAGCATCATTAAGATACTAAGCCAAACAAAAAAGATATTTATGTTGCCAAAGTGTGCCATCCAAACTAAATGAGAAAGAAATCACTTAAGAAAGACTGGGTAAGTGCATATTCATACCCATCAGGGCAACGAGAGACAAAGTTACTGAGAGCTGCACAATACTAATCCAGCTGGCTATCTACTTGTCATTTCAGGACCTCATGAGTCACTTAGCTGAATTTCTGAGTAAACTCAAATGGTTGGCTGCTACTGAACCGTGGGCAAAAAAGAGAAGCAAGGTATAATAGCTATGAGTATCTCTGAAATGGATCCTGGCTTAGCAGAAGAGAACTGGGTGAACAACCATGTCTCCCTCAAATATTACTGTACACATTACACATTCCAGACAGAGGCAGTATAAAATGCAGTTTTCATCCTTGAATTTTGGGATCAGATAGACACAGCCATGAAAGATGATTTCATTCCCTATGAAAAACAGTTGGGATTGTGATGGGATTATTATTATCTTCACACATGGGAAAAAGAAGGCTAAGCATAATAATCTGCTCTGTACCCCCGGAAAGTCTCTGTCTCTGTGTCTCTCTGTGTGTGTGTGAGAGAGAGGGTGGGTCTATTTGGCTCTTGACACCTACGGCATTGTAGAGAGGTCATTCAGAATATCTAGGACAGTGTTTCTCAACCTTGACAATTTTAAGGCATGTGGACTTCAACTCCCAGAATTCCACAGCCAGCATTGCTGCTGGCTGTGGAATTCTGGGAGTTGAAGTCCACATGCCTTAAAATTGTCAAGGTTGAGAAACACTGATCTAGGAGGAACTTGCCTTGAAGGAACAAAATACTGTGACTTTGATACGTCCACACAACCCACATTAAACCATACTGCAAAGAGCCCATTCTCCATTCATTTCTCTCATCCATACCGGTAGCCAGATGAACAACTAGCTGAACTTGATGTTTTATTACACTACAATCTGTGAATGCCTAATGAATAGGGAATTTTCCCTGCCTCAATTTCATCTCACTCCACTAGACTTTCTTAATGTCTTGTTAACACTCAATAGTTGTATGCTACTCCAGCTAAGCATGCAAACTCCACACAGGTCAGAGAAATTAATTTCATGTAAATGCTTCTGTGGCCATTGGGAATGGCTCTGTGGGACATCCTGTGCACCTAAAAGACCAGCTGGCAGAACAGTATTTGAGGAATAGCTAATAATTGAGCATCACTTGCTCTAGAAATCTTCCTTCCTTCCTTCTCTCTCCTTCCTTTCTCTTTCTCCTTCCCTTCTTTTCTTCCTCTTCCTCTTCTTTTTCTTTTCTTTCTTTTTCTTTCTCTCTCTTTCGTTCTCTTGTGGATGCAGTTTTCCAGTTTGCAAGGAGTCTGTAACTCCCCTGGCCAGAGCAGCCAGTTTTTATCTGTCTTTTGATCTTGGAAGCAGTTATGAGTGGTTAAAAAGTTAAAACACTTCCTCCTCCAGTTATAATAAAGTACCTTTACTTCCTCTCAGAATCTTTGGCCTCTAAAAGTAATGTGGTGCAGTGATTAAAGTCTTGGACTGGGACTGGGGAGACATATGTTCTAAACCTTTCTAAGCCATGAAAACTCCCAGAATCGGGCCAATTACTTTTTCAACCTATATTTCCCCTGCTTAGTACATCTCTGGAGTGCTGACCAGCAGTTCTCTGCAGTGCGACTTGAATTCTCTTGGGTGAAAAAAAAAAAAGGCAAGAGATCATTTGCAAGGTCACTATGAGGACTGTTCTTGCCACCTGTTGGATAAAATTAACTCAGATTCACAGACTTGGACTCATTGTGTAGGTCCTATGGAATTGAGATACAACCTTACACAGTTTATCTCGGAGGAGTTCAGTGGTGTTAATCCTGAGTGGACAGGATCCCAGGAGTTGTTAATGTGTCCACCTGCGTTCTAGATCCACGGCTTCCTTGGTTGAGAGAAGGCTAGTGCTAACAGCTCTGAAAGAGGCAATAATTTGCCCTCCTTCTCAAGAAGCCATTGCTTGATCCAAGAGAACTGGACAAATTTTTAGGAAAAATTGACAAGAAGGTAGTCAGCTTGCAAGTCTAAAGTGTCTTGAGGAAGCAGCAACATCGCTGGCGGTGAGTTTCTTTTTTAACCTAGTTTTTCTTTTCCTTTTTGGGTTGTATGGGAGTTTTCAAAAATTGCAAAATAGATGTCCCATTTCTTTTGACCCCCTCAAGTCCATGTTGTTTCCTCATCATGGTGATGATGGGTGTTCTTGGGAAGGATGAAGGAACACCAGCCATGTACGTCTAGCATGAAGGTCATTCCTGAGGCCCAGCCAAAACAAGTAAGTACCTGCATTGGGCAGCAGCAATATAGGAAGATGCGGGAGGCAAATAGTCACTTTAATGAAAACAGCAAAGACACCATCCATATGGCATAAAAGAAAGCCTTTATTATCAACTCAACTAACACAGAGGTCCCCAATCTCCAGGCCACAGCCCACTACTGGGCCTTGAGCCTTTTGGAACTGGGCTGTGGAAGTGGGGGTATACGCAGAACCATCCCCTCCCTCTCCCAGGCCGGTCTACAAAGCCAAAAGGGAACTTTGGACTAACATATCCAATAAACACACCTTCCTCCTATTTTCTCACACAACAATCCTGTGAGGAGGGTTGAGCAGAGAGAGAGTGACTGGCCCAAGGTCACCCAGCTGGTTTTCTTGGCTAAGATGGGACTTGAACTCACAGTCTCCTACTTTCTAGCCTATTGGGCCTAAACCAGGGGTAGGCAACCCAAAACACTCAAAGAGCCACTTGGACCCGTTTCCCACCAAAAACAAAATACCGGGAGCCGCAAAACCCTTTTGATATCTAAAATGAAGATAACACTGTATATATCCTTTTTTACCTTTATTATAGGTGTGTGTGTGTGTGTGTGTGTACACACACATTAAAAATAAAAGTAAAAATATGACTCTTGGGAATATCCATACTATTAAAACAATGATCACCAAGAGAATGCTTTAAGAGAATAAAATTACATACACACACAAGTAAAAGAAGGATATATGCAGTGTTATCTTCATTTTAGATGTCAAAAGGGTCTCTCTCTCTGTCTCTCTCTCTCCCTCCCTCTCTATCTGCCCTTGGTCTGCCACTCCTCTTCCCCCACTCTCTTTCTTTCTCTGTCTCTTTCTCTCTCTCTCTCTCTCTCTCTCTCTCTCTCCCTCCCTCCCTCTCTCTTTCTCTCTCTCTCTTTCTCCCCCCTCCTATCTGCTGCTCACCTGGCAAGCTTCAAGCTGTTGTCCAACAAGCTCAGGGGTAAGCAACCTCGTCTCTTTTATGACTCATGGACTTCAACTCCCAGAATTCCTGAGTCAGCCTAGCTGGGCTAGCTAGCTCTCTCCTGCCCTTCCTGCTTCCTGCAGAGACGCAGCAAAGGGAGGAGCTCCGCCCAGTAAGCTTTTCAGCTCCTCGGAGAACACTGTGAGTGCACTCTCTTTTACACATACACACACAAAAAAAACCACAAACACACACACACACACACACACACACAGAGAAGCAGGGAAGCGCAATTGCCTCTCTCTGTCTCTCTCTCTGCAAAGGCAGAGGAGGCTGGGAGCCACAGGGGAAGGCTCAAAGAGCCGCATGTGGCTCCGGAGCCGCAGGTTGCTGACCTGTGGCCTAAACCAATAGACCAACCTAATCTCTCAGGCTAAATGGCATTCAGCATGCTACCGAGGAAGACCTGAAGAACATTCAGACTATTAATAACAGCAAGCAATATCTTGACCACTGTGTTGTTCTCTAGATTTTCTGACATAATTTGATTAGAACCTTTTATGAGTCTTGTTCTTGTTGCTTGCCATATTTTTGTAGATATTCCATCAATTCCTATAGTACAGAGGTCCCCAATCTTTGGGGCACCAGGGACCAGTTACGTGGAGAGAGGGACTGGAGTGTGTGTGGTTTTGTGTGCTGCCTGCATCTCGCGCATGGGGCTTTGCTTGTTTGTGCGGACTGGTTGCTGGCATGCTGCGACCCGGTACTGGTCCACGGACCAGGGGTTGGGGACCCCTGCTATAGTTAAGTTTGCATTACAATCAGTTACGGTAGATTTTTCTTATGCATGAAATTCTGCATTATTTTAAGTCACAGCGCATACATGTGTATTCAAGGACAAAATATAGATCCTGTATAAACACAATAGTAAAATCAATACAATTAAAATCAAAGCTGTTTGTAATTAAAATCAATTATTAGCTCCAAATTTGGTGAAAGAGATATTTTTTGTCATGTCCTAAATATTGAGAGAATGGGAGGTCACTCCATCACTTGAGATAATTATCCAAAGCCTTGAAGCAGCACAGGAAAAATCCTTATCCTGCATACCAAGATAGCCAAGTTCTAGAAGGGAGAAGGGGATCTTTATTTCCAGCCCCTGCTTTTCTCAGTAGCTGAGCAGGTTCATAGGCGAAGAGACAGTCACAGAAATTGCTGTTTAAAGATCAACTCCCATATTTAAATTGTATTCAATAGGGAACTGGTAGCCAGACCAAGTCTCTCGGAACAGGAATCATATCATTTTTGAACCTTATGCCAGTCAGCAGCCTGGCTGCCACATACTCTGAAATTTTTTGGAGCACCAATTAAAGAAATTGACACATTTTTCACCAACTACAATTTTACAGAAAAGCCTGTGCATTACAAAGTGCACGTATGGAAATCATTGCACTGAGTAATCAACTTATAGCCAAGCTCTTTATTCACACTTTAATAAAGCAAAGTACAGGAGGTACCGTATTTTCCGGCATATAAAATGACTCGGCGTATAAGACAACCCCTGACTTCGGAGCCAATTTGCATGCTTAGAAAGTCGTCTTATATGCTGGAAACTACCGTAATTTCCGGCGTATAAGACGACTCGGCGTATAAGACGGCCCCCGACTTCGGAGCCGATTTGCATGCTTTAGAAACTCGTCTTATACACCAGAAAATACGGTAGTTCTGCTTCTTTCCTTCTTACCTAATAATCCATAATTTCTAAGCTTCTAGGTCAGCAGGAAAGAATAAGCAGGGGTAGAAAAGTAGATAGCTCTGGTGCAGAGGGAGATGTTCTAACTATCAACGTTTAACGTGGCAAAAGGAGAGGAGTGACCCAACTGTTAGCTTTAGTAGGAAGTCCAGCTTTCCTCTAGATGTTCCAGGAAGGCAAAGAGAAATTCAGAACTGCCTCAGCATCCTTGTTTTTGTAAAATGATCGGTTGCATCAGCTAAAGAGCCCTTTTGCCTTCTTCCTTTTGGTTTTAACAACAGGCATTTGTGCTTTCTGAGCTTGGGAAGATGAGACCTGGAAAGAAGAGGCACTGATCAGAATGAGTAAGTCAACCGGCCAACCCAAATAGTCAGAGTAAAACCAACTACTTGTAGCCAAATAAGATCTCATCATTTTATTTGACTTCCATAGTTGAGACACAGAATGTGCCGTTTCTCTCTGGAGTATGAGGAGCAGTCAACACCAAGCAGCGGTGGCAGGTAAGAAAATAAAAATGGCATGCAGACATTTCAGTCACAAAGATGCCCCACAGGGTTAGAGAACCTAAAGGTTGCTGCTGACAATCACTGAACTTCACAGACATACCGTAAGCAATAGAAGAGTTTACTACTAATTCTTTTAAGGGGGCTCTTCAAGGGGATAAAGAAGCAGAGATGACCTGATCAGAGAAAGAGGATCTATGGCTCTCCAATGTTCAGTTACATCTCTGAACACCTTTTACTACTGGTTATGCTGGCTGAGGCTGATTAGGGCTGGAGCAACATAAAGAGAGCCATGCATGTAGGGATGTGAGTCTATACATATGTTGTTCATAGTATGTTTAGGTGTGTGTCATGTATGTGTTTCACTTTGAGAGCAGGCAACTAAATTTCATTTTTGATGTGTGCCATCATGCCCACAGTATAAAAATGACAATAAAGGTTATCTTATCTTATTGAGGCAAGGTGGCCAAGGCTGTTGTTCCTTCAGTAACTATTTGAACACCACATTTCTAAGGCCTTTCTAGACAGTGACTTTTTCACACAGTAAATTAGACCCGTACACAGATCTAATTTCAGATTTTGTTTGATACAGATATTTCAGTACCGCTGCTATGGCATATGGCCAACAGATGGATTTGCTGATTAACACACGTGTAACTGTTACTGTGCTACAAGGACAGGTAGTCTTTCTCAGGAGAGTTTGTTATGGCTGTAATGTCACTGGGAAATCGTCAATTTCTTATCCTTACAATCTGGAATCTGCTTGTCAAAGGATTTATTTCCCAACATAACACAGGCCTAACCTTTTAATCACAATATTTTTAACTGTATGTTTCTTAATGGTATAATTTTTTTTTAACTGTACCTCACCAGAGTGACATCTTGTGAGATGGGCAGTCATAAACATATAAATATAAAATAAATAATCAAATCTCATGTTATCCTATGACTTTCTTCTAATTCTAACGTGCCTTCATAACAACAGCTTTCCATAACCACATTTTTTTCAAGACTACAACTCCCACGTACCAGTGTAACATGCTGCTTTAGAGATTATGGAAAGCACCGATGAGAGAAATTGCCTTATCGACTGACTGTCTCCATCCCACTATGCACCAGACAGAATAGCAGCAATTAATACAAATTTTGGGACAACTGGCAAAGTTCCTGTTCTCCAGCCAGTTATATACAGTATCACAATCTGTTTCCTCAACTTCAACACTTTGAGGACCCCCTTCCCATATGTATCTAGTAGCCATGGACCCACCACTGCTTCTTCCACATGCTGTGCAGATAGCAACTGGGTCTCTGTCTTTTCTTCCGCTGCTGGCAAATCTACCACATCTTCTGTAGGGTCTTGAGAAGTAGCATGGTTAAGGGATCCAAAGTCTTCTGATTCTGTCAAAGGAAGAAGATAACAAATGGTGGTGCCATGAAGAGGGAGTCAAGCTATTCTCCAAAGCGCCTGAAGGCAGGAGAAGAAACAATGGATGGAAACTAATCAAGGAGAGAAGCAATCTAGAACTAAGGAGAAACTTCCTGACAGTTAGAACAATTAACCAGTGGAACACCTGCCTCCAGAAGTGATGAATGCTCCAATACTGGAAGTTTTTAAGAAGAGACTGGACAGCCATTTGTCTGAAATGGTGTAGGGTTTTCTGCCTGAGCAGGGGGTTGGACTCGATGACCTCCAAGGTCACTTCCAACTTTATTATTATTATTATTATTGGTTAAAGTGTCAAGGTTATAGGAATTATAGAAATAAGAATTGACCCTTATAGTTTCACAATTTGGAAGCAGACAACTTATGCCTTCCAGATGTCTTGAAGTACATTGCCATATTCCTAGATCGCTGATCCTGCTTCCTGGAGCTCAAAGGAATTAATTTATTTGAAATACATATATATGGTTTTTCATTGATTCCAATCTAAAACATATATAGAAAATGGTATAAAATAAGAAAATGATATTTTCAATTTAAAAAGTAAAAGAAAAGAAGGAAAACAATTTACACCATACATACAACTTTGTTTTAGGAAAGTCTAGATGAAGAGACAGGTCTTTGGCTGTCTTCAGAGTGCTTCAGAAATTTCAAGAAAGGCATCTTTCAGAGCAAAGACCACCTTGCGTGCCCCCCCAACTTACGGTTACAAAATTGGCCCTATTCAGGAAAGCATATAATTGGTCTACAACCAAACTATAGGCACTGTAGTCACAGAATCCACATAGGATTCTCCAGTGACATTAAGCATCCTATATTACTATAGTAGCTATTGTTTCTGAGGGATTATAAACTTATTCCAAACAGAAAAAGTCCAATTCCCAAACTTGGGAACCAACTACCCACAAGGACTTCTGTCTTGCTAAGATAACGTTGTCATTCCCTCCACAACTGTATCTGGACACTGGCTTGGAACATGCCAATTCATTCTGGAAACATTGGCTCTATTACTCCAGTTGTCTACCGTTGGCGGCTTCATATACAGTAGCTGTTAAATAACGGGGACAGACATAGTGCCTTGTTGCAACACAAAATGCAGAGGAAGATTCATTTATTGTACTTCTGGGATCATCTCCACAAATATGAAACGCAGGGTCCTCATGCAGGCACTATTGGTGGTCGAGAGATCAATGCACCCTGTCTCTCTTTTCCAGGTCAGCTGCAAAATGATAACTATGGTAGATTCTGTCCCAGAATTACAAGAACCAAGACTGGGAAGGGTTGAGATAATCACGGTGCTGCAGAGACATCATCCTCTCAATAAGCATCAAAACAGAGGTACTGCACATTGGACTGGACTGCAGAAAGGGTTGATGCAGGGTTATCCATAATCTTTTAATTACCAGGCTGCTCCCTCAAGACGGAATGGGCCAATTTGCCATGGCCAACGAGCTGCAGCCAACTTGCCACAGGATAACTCGCTGTGAGACGATTCAACAATTCAATTTAATTATTTAAAATAATTATAATTATTTTAATTTTTGTCATTCACATTTCGTTTTGTCCCCCCCTTTTGTATCCTTTCTTTAATGATTCTATTCTACCATTTCTTTGATATTGTGCCATGGCGAGTTGACTGTGGTGAGTTGGCTGTGACATGTTGTCCTAGACCAGGGGTAGGCAACCTTGGCTCTTTTGTGACTCGTGGACTTCAACTACCAGAATTCTTGAGCCAGCCATGCTGGCTCAGGAATTCTGGGAATTGAAGTCCACGAGTCATAAAAGAGCCAAGGTTGCCTACCCCGTCCTAGACCTCTCTCAAGACCAGAGGGTATGTTTCACTCTGTTCATTGACTGAGTGGCAGAGACAGGCTTACAACTGCCCTGGAAGCTATACAATTTTATGTGAGCCTTAACCGTTTGGAATAAGTTACAGACTAACACCTAAGGATTAACAGGCTTCCTACTCCAATGGTCTACGTATAATGTCAAAATCAGATGCTAAAGAACAAAACGGCAAGGGAAATACAGGAAGGAGAAAACTAGGCGCATCAAAGGTTGTTTGGTTCTCTTGAACGACGACCTTCTGTTAGCCAGATGACAGCGCAAAATCAATCGAATTTATTTATTTCTGGTCATTTGAGATAAGTCGGCTTGTCTTCCAAAGGCGGATGATGGCAGAGTAGACACATCCTTCCCACACTTGATCCACTCACCTGCCCAGTGCCGTTTGCGAGCAGCTCTGGCTTGTTGCTGGGTCACTGCCACATAGAGCGATTTCAGGTTAGACGTGAACAAGCGTCCATCTCCCAGGCGGCAGGCTTGGGGCAAAGTCTGAAAAACAAAAGAGGAGATAGCGTGCAGGGTGGAGACTACAAAGGGGATTATAAGAGCACAGGAAATAAGCGCACTACATTTCACCTAAAGAAATGTACTTGCTGAAATGTTGCTGGCCTTGCTATAGTACTCCAGTGTCTACAATGAGAAGGGCAATTCAGGAGTGATTTCGCAATATTGTACCTCAGCATCAAGATCACCTACAGGCCCTAATTCCATGGAACGTCCGCACTCCGCACGCAATGGGCGCCTTGTTATTTTCACTTACGAGGAACTTTGGTACCCAGAGAAGGGAATTAGCCTTTGGGGGGGGGGGGTTTGCAATCTTCAAAGAGGAGGCTGCCAATCAAAGTACAAAAAGGTGGACCAGAGAATAAACACGGAGCAGCACAATATAAAATTGCTTCTTTTTGTTTATAGGCAGTCCTCGGCTTACGACCACAATGGAGCCCAAGATTTCTGTTGCTAAGTGAGAGTTGTTACGTGGGTTTTGCCCCATTCTATGACTTTTCTTGCCATGTTTGTTAAGGGAATCGCTGCAGAGGTTAAGTGTGTCACCTGGCTGTTAAGTGAATCTGGCTTTCGTATTGGTTTTGCTTGTCAGAAGGTCGCAAAAGGAGATCGCCTGACCCCGGGACACCACAACCATCACGAATAAGAGTCAGCTGCTAAGGGTCTGAATTTTGATCACTTGACCGTGACCACTTGGCTCCTGGCCAACGACCCTGGGGCGGTTGCTGCAACGGTTGCAGTCATAAGTTGCCTTTTCCAGTGCTGTTGAAACTTTGAACGGTCACTAAACAAACTGCTATAAGTCGAGGACTACCTATATTCTAATAATCGGTGTCATGGCTCTTACTGTCAAACAGTTCTGGGAGCTGTTTTTAGGCAAACTCATTGTACTCCAAAGAGCTTTTCACTTCTAATATAGAAATGGTACAAAAGCTTAGCTTGAGAAATGCCTAGCTCCTCCATTTTCAGGAGGAGGAGGAGGAGGAGGAGGAGGAGGACTGTTGCGTTGAAAGCTCCCAAGCGCTGCACGCACACACACATGCGCGTGCACACACACACACACACACACACACACACACACACACACACACACGTCCATCAATAAATGTTTTTAAAATGTTTTTAAAATTTTACCCCAGCAGGACAGAAGGGTGAGAACAGGTACTCCGTTGCATCCAGGCCACAGGGACCACCAAGGCCCAAGTTTCACTCTACCACCCCCCCGCCCTCATCCTGGTCAGAGAGAACCCAGAATCCTGCTGGCTGCCTACGTTTCAAAGGTTTCCAAAGATAATGTCTCCATGTGCTGCAGCTGCTCCACACCCAAACAGGCAGGAGAACAAAGTGTAACAGATAACAACAGGCCGGTTCCTCTGCAAGCACTGAAGCGCTCAAGGCCAGAGTCCAAAGCTTGCCCAGTCACCCACTCCTCCCTCTGCAGCCTGCAGAAGTGGCACAAGGCTCCTGGCCAATGCCATAGGGGACAGCCTAGCTAGCAGGATGCAGTGGGAGGTGAGAGTGAATCATATACTGGCATTATGATGACTCCCACCTTCTTTTCAGAGCCTTAAGTGGGGGGGGGGGCAACCGGGCCTCAAGTGTCTCTCTGATCTGAATGTCTGAAAGTACTTTTAGCATTCCTGCTCTCCTTGACCGGTCCTTTTCAGGATCTTTTAAACTCGACGTGCCACGGATTTGAACCTGGGACTTTCTGCAATGCCAGGCATCAGCTCTAATTTTCAGATACAAGGCCATTCCCTCCTTGGGTAAAAGAGGCTTTTCCTTTGAGTGCGAATGTTTGTTTCTCACCTCCCCTTGCAGAGATAATTCTAAACAAGGTGCCCTGGGTATTCCAGGAAGGAAGAAAGTGCAATTAAGATTATTTATACACATACCAACATGCATAGATACACATGTTTGCACACCATATCCCTTTGATGTCTGTCCACCCCCCACAAAGTTACAAAATAAAAAGAAATGGGAAAAGGAAGGCTAGGTATGCTTTGTTGAATTCCTAAACAAATATGTATAGCATAATAAAAAATGGGGAAATTCACCAGCTAAAATGGGCATCGGTTAAAATGTGCGCATTCACATAATAAAAACAAACCCTAAAAGCTATTTATCATATTGTGAAATACACTAGCTTACTTTCCTAGAGCAAACAGTATCACAGACCACTGAAAAAGTTTTCCTCTCCCCCTTTGCTTCCATCAACTGTGCTCTGCCGTGGTTAGAACCGAGGAATCGATGAAAGAGAATACTTTTGATGGAGGCAAGATTGAGAAGAGGTTCTCAAGTCTGGACAGGTTTGTAAAGGGGAGCAGGTTTTAGGGAACGGTGTGATCACAAGCCACCTCCAGCTTAATAGGTTGTCGTTAAGAGTGTGAATTTTTCCTAGAAAAATATTCGATAGCTGGTGGAACTGCTTTAACAAGAGAGCAATTCCCTCCAAATAGAGGCACCTATCAGTAATGTGGCCGCAGCGGTCTGAACTACCAAGACGTTCTGAGCACTGTTATTTTATTTATTAAATTTATATGCTGCTCATCTCGATATCCAGAGTGGCTTTTGCAAAGCAGAGTGTATTACAGTAGCCCAGTGAAGAAGAAACTGCTATATGTTAGCATCTTCTGATCCAATGGCTCCAGAAATGGGCAGCATTTATTTGCAACATAAGATTTGCATTGGTAAAAATACAATATTATGTCATTGAAAAAAACAACAACACAGTGCATCCTGAATCTTTACCATGTACAGCAATACTGACCGTGCAGACAGATAATGTTTTCTTATTGCTTACTGTCCATTAAATGTCTTGTGATAACTTGCCATTTGCATAGGATTTAATTCCTTTTTTAAAAAAAATATAATTTTAAAGAAAGTTTTAGCACAAGAGCAAAAATCAATACAAATTCAAGCAGAGTAAGAAGGGGAAAAAATGAATAAAAAAAGTTAAAGTGCAAAAAAGAAAAACAGAAAAGGAGGAAAAAAGATAACGGAAAACTTGCCACTGTCACTGGTTTCCGATTTTTACAGCAGTCATAACTACAATTGTTGATCTATCTATCTCTTTCTGTAAACTTATTTAGGGATTCTCTTCTTTTCTTACTCTATCGCAGTGGTTCTCAACATTTGTGTGACGGCGACCCCCGTCACACAAACGTTCTGCGCATGCGCGGCGCCGTCCGCATGGGGCGGGGCTGCCCATGCGCTGCCCCATGCACGGCGGTGCCCCCACGCGCCACCCCATGCACGGTGGTGCCCCCATGCGCCACCCCATGCGCGGCGGCGGCCCCATGCGTGGCGCGCATGTGCGGCGGCGGCCCCTGAGGGGAGAAAATGGCAGATTGCCTTCTTTGGCGACCCCCGAAAAATGGTCGATCGACCCCAAATGGGGTCGCGACCCATGGGTTGAGAACCGCTGCTCTATCGTTTCTGATAATCAAAACCATAAATCATGAGTCTTGTTTTTTCTGTTTTAGGCAAAAAGTCCAGAAGGGGTTTCCACTCAGCAATAAACACAGAGGTTGTCTCTTCTCTAAACAAACAGGGTCAATTTGGCCATCTCAGAAAATTCTGTCATCTTCACCGATCATTCCTTCTTTACAGGTGTTGCCAAATCTTCCCATCTTTGTGCATACAATAATCTGGCTGTGGTTATCATATACAAAAGCAAAGTTCCATGACTTTTCTTCCAAATGTTTATCAGTCTTGAGGAAAAGTTCTGGTTTCAATTGTATATATTAATGTTTAAAATCCTCTCACTCAGTGTATGCATTTGAACCCCAATTCTTCTAGCTTTTTTACACATCCACCAAGCTGATAAAATGACGCTTTTGATAGTTCATATTTCCAAAATAATTCTCAAGTACTTTTTTTACGTTCTAGATCATTTTTCTGGTATCATATAGCAGAACGGTACATCGTTTTTAAAAGTTCTCTTTTATACTTTAACACGATACACATTTCAAATCTTTCAGTCACTTGTTTTCCCATTGTTCTACCTGTGTATGATAACCAAAATGTTTAGCTCACTTTATCATACATTCTTCCACTTGTTCTTTTTCTGTTTCAAAATTCAATAAAAGTTTTGTACATTTTAGCAGTCACATGTTTATCATTTGTACACAGTTCCATTTCAAAGTCAGCCTTACTGCATTTAATACCATACATTCTTTTATCTACTTGGAATCTTTCTGATAACTGTAAATATCATTGACATTGATATCCCCCTGCCATCAGTTGTTCTCTTTATTTTATTTTGTATTTCCTTTGTAATATATCATGGAATGTTACACTTTTTGTGTTTGCCTATTAATATTCGTCTATACAGGGGCACGGTAGCTCAGTGGTTAAAGACGCTGAACTTGTCAGCTGGAAAGCTGACAGTCTGAGTTCAAGATCCAAGCACCGTGCTATGGAGCTCCCAGTTCCAGCCGGCAGTTCGAAAGCAGGCAAAGGCAAGTAGATAAATAGGTACCACTTTGGTGGGAAGGTAACAGCATTCCATACACTTTGGAATATAGTTATGCTGTCCACATTACCACGGAAGTGTCTTTGGGCAACGCTGGCTCCCATTAACTAATTTTTAGGTGAAAACCAACACTGATCCTCATGTATAAATTCTTGCAAAATTATTTTCAGCCTCTCTGTCAAAATTGTTAGGATATCAGCCATTAGTTTCTTGTTAAAGTCAAATCTTGTCCCTCTTTAGGTATTAATACTGTATTAGCCTTTTTCCATCTTTCTGGCATTTTCTTCTCTGTAAAATAGAAATCAACATATTTTGTAGTGGCTGTGAAGTCCGTCCTCAAAGTATTAATAATAGGATCCTGGTAATCCATCTGGTCCAGGTATCCTGCCTGATTTAATCTTTTTTATAGCTCTATAAACTTCCGTTATTGTTTTAGGTCCATTTTCGATTCCTTTGTAATCCTCAGTAGATTTTGTTTTTTAAAAAAATGTTTTTTTAAATATTTAAA